GGCTATAGTAGTGCTCAGTTGTCCTAAACATCATTAGAAACAATTTTGTTAGATTGTATTGTGACAGTTGTCATATCAACATGCATTAAAAAAACATTGAAATTGGTGAAGTTTTGTGTAGCCATTTTACTATTGAAGATGGAAGAAAATGTGCAACATTTTCAGCATATTATGCCTTTTTAGTTCAAGAAAGGTAAAAATGAAACAAACACAAAATTTGTGCAGTGTATGCAGAAGGTTCTGTGACTAATTAAACATGTCAAAAGTGGTTTGCAAAGTTTTATGCTGAAGATTTCTTGCTGGATGATACTCCATGGTAAGGTAGATCAGTTGAAGTTGATAGGGGTCAAATCAAGACATTGATAACAATCAACATTAATACATGTGAGAGATACTCAAAATATCCAAATCAATAAAGTTATTGGTGAAAATGAAAAATGTGTCTTTTAGTTTGCAGAAAAAAACTAAACAGACTTTTGGCCAACCCAACATAACCAAGATTACTCCACCCAACAAAGCTATCATTTAGAATTAAAGAACATCTAAAGAGCTTCCCAGACAAGAGAAATGTAAAGGAGTTCATCACCTCCAAGCTGGTGCTACATATGTTAAAGTATCTTTAAGAATAAGAAAAAAAGATTAAAACTATGAGTAATAAAATTGTAAAAAAATACATATCTATCAACAATTGAATCTAAAAACCAAACTAAATGAACAAACAAAACAGAAACAGACTCATAGGTATAGTGAACATTTGACGGTTGCCCCATGAGAGGAGGCTTTCGGGGAGGGGTGAAAAGGTGAAGGGATTAAGAAGTATAAATTGTTAGTTACAGAATAGTCACAGTGATGTTAAGTACAGCATAGGGAATATCGTCAATAACAATGTAATAACTATGGTGTAGGGTAATAGATTTATGGGCAATCAGTAGGTTACATAATGTCTAATCACTGAGTTGTACACTTGAAACTAATATAATATTGTATGTCAACTATAATTGAAAAATAAAAATATTTAAATATAACTAGAGTTAGTAAACATATCCAATAAATTGTAACATATAAGGTCAATACAAAAGTGCAACTTTTTTACACACTAGCAATGAAGAATCTGCAAAGGAAATTAAAACTATTTTATTTACCGTAGCATTCAAAAGAACAAAGAACATCAAAATAAATTTACCCAAGTTGGTGAAAGACTTGTATGTGGGAAACTAATGAAACATGACAAAAGAAATGATAGAGGACTTAAATAAATGGAAAGACATAATATGTTCATGGTCTGGAAAGCTTAATATTATGAAGATGGTAACACTGCCCTAAGGAATGTACATATTCAATACAAGTATTAGCAAAATTCTAGTAACCATTTTTCCCCAGAAATACAAAAGCCGATTATCAAATTAATAAGGAATTACAAGGGGTTCAAACAGTTTTGAAAAAGGTCAAAGTAGGAGTAACACTTTCCAATTTTATATCTACTAAAATCTACAGTACTTAAAACAGTACTGGCATAAGAATAGATATATAGACCAATGAAATAGAATTGAGAGTCCAGAAATAAACCCATATATCTATTGCTAATTTGCTCTTGACAAGGATGCTGAAACTGTTCAGTGGGAAAAGAATAGTCTCTTGAATAAATGGTGCTAGGGCAACTGGATATCTACATGCAGAAAAATGAAAATCTGCAGTTCTGCTTCACACCATTGTGAATCAGCAACTTAAATATGAAAGGCAAAACTATAAAACCAGAGGAAATTTTTTTGACCTTGGATTTGAAAGTTAAAATATGACTCCAAAAGTACAAATACAAAAAAAAGTACAACAAAAAAATTAGATAAATTGGACTGCATCAAAGTTAAGAATTTTTGTACATCGAAGAACGTATGAAGTGAATAGATAGCCTGCAACATGGGAGAAAATATTTGCAAATCCTGTATCATAACAATCTAGTATCTACAATATATAAGGAATTTTTTGATAAAGCAACAAAAAGACAAACCAAATTAAAATTAGACAAATTACTGGAATAGACATTTTTCTGAAGAAGATTACGAATACCCAACAAATACATGGCAAGATGCTCAACGTCACTGAACATTAGGGAAATGCAAATCAACCACAATGAGGTACCACTTTATGCCCACAGGATGACTATAATCAAAATAACAAGCACTGGCATGTAGAGAGATTGGAACCCTTGTATATTGTTATTGGGCATGTAAAATGATGCAGCTGAAGTGGGAAAGTTTGGTGATTTCTCAAAAAGTTAAACATATATTTGCCATATGACCCAGCAACTCAGTGTCTAGGTATATATCTCAAAGATTTTAAACATGCATGTTTATGGCAGCACTGTCCTCAATAGCCAAAAGGTCAAAGAGTCCAAATGCTCATCAGTGTTTGGATACACAAATTCTGGTATATCTATAAAAAGGAATGAAGTACTGATATATACTACAACCTGGATGAATTACAAACACATGCTTAGTGAAAGAAAACAGCCACAAAAGATCACACATTATATAATACATCCAAACATATCATATAAACATTTGGATGTTCATATAATACATCCAAAATGGGTAAATTTATAGAGACAGAAGCAAATTTTAGTGGTTACCAGAGTTTTGGAGTGGGAAAAGTAGAGTGACTCCTTAATAAATATGGGTTTTTATTTTGGAGTGGTTGAAAGTTTTGGAAGTAGATATTGGTAGTCATTATACGATGCTGTGAATATATTAAATGCCACAGAATTAAATACTTTAATATTAATTTAAAATTAATTTATGTAATAAGAATTTCACTTCACTAAAAATGTTAATAGTGGCAGGATCCTCATTAAGAATTTAATGAAATCCAAAGAAAACAGTAAACCTTCTTTGTAAAAAATTATAATATATACAGAAAGTTTCACATAAAATTCTGGGCAGTTCACAAACCCTGTGAATGATTGTCTATGGCCCCAAGTTAAGAACTTGTGCTTTAACTCATTGCCGGCCTCAGGTAACATCTTTCAGTAATTCCTCACCTCTACAAATTAGGAAAGGAGTGAAAATGATGGTATGTGTTTAAAAATTTTTTAAAGAATTAGGATTTGTTGGGATTGATAAAAATGTATTGGAAATGAAAGCAAACTGAAAATCCTCTAGCCCACTTTTAAAATTGTATGTTTTCTTTAAAATAGTTCTTGGATCTCAGGAAGTCAAAATAGCAGAAAAATCTAAAAAATAATAATAGTGAAAATACTGGATATGGTTAAAGCTGAATTAAGTAAAATACATAGTCTTAACTGCATATGTTTCTGAAGAAAGAATGAAATAGAGTATTCAAATGAAAAAGAAAAACATCGTGGTAAGCCTAAGGAAAATGAAAGGAAATCATTGGAGCTGAAAATCAAAGTTAATGCATTAAAAGAAACCTACTTAGATGACTACTGTAGCCTCCTGAGAGGTCTTCCTAGCACTACCTGCTTAAGTAACATTTAGCAATGCCCTTAAAATTGCTCTCAAGGCCCTTTATAACTGGCTTGTGTCTATCTTTAATATTTTTAATAGGTACATTCTAAAACTAAAATCAGGTAAAATTAATTGTAATAATGTTTATTTAACTTAGTATGTCCAGAATATTATTTTAACATGTAATCCATATAAAAATTATCAGGAAGGTATTTTACATTGTTGAGGTTTTCTGTATTCTTTGAAATCCAGTATGTATTTTACACTTATGGCACTTGTAAATACAGACTAGCCACATTTCAAGTGCTTGATAGCTAGCCACAAGTTAAATGTAGAAGCAATAGAAGATAGTCACAAAGGCAAAAAATAGCATTGGCTATAAGAAGATAAACAATTGTATTAAAAATTAAGGAAGAAACAAAATAGGAATATATTTGCAGCATAATATAGTGTAATATTATTACTATTAATATGTGAAGAATTAATACAAATCACTGGGAACACTTAAGACCCCCAAAAGATAACAAATGGCCAGTTTACAAAAGATCTACTAACAAACATAAAAGATAGTATATAACCTCATTAATAATCAAGTACAGATTTAAAAAAATAGTAATATACTACTTTCATCTATCAAGGTAGCAAAGACTTTAAAACTATAATTTCCAGGGTTGTGAAAAATGCAGTCAAAGGGTGTTCTCATCAAGCAAGGGTGAGGGGGGATATGAATTAGTAAAACCTTTGTAAAAATCAGTTTAGCAACAGACACAAAAATTGTTTCCTTGAATATATTATATAGAAGGAAAAAGTACATACCCAAAATTTACTTACTAGAGAAGGCTAAAGTATTGTAGTTAATGGGATAGTGATTTGATGAAATACTGTGAGCAGTAACAGGAAAAGTCTTTGTATAATATTAATCTGGAAAAAGATACAGAATCAGAGACCTTATATCTGTGTTTATGGAGAAAAATCAAGCCTATGTTTAGAAAACAAGACTAAGATATTTATCAGAATGTTAACAATGTTTACTTTAGGACCTCAGATTATTTTCTAGTTTACTGTTTTTCAAATGTCATAAAATTAGTGAGTATTACCTATATAATAAAATAAAATACTTAAAGTGGTAGGATTCTTAAATATGATTTGAAAAGTCATATTAATTCAAATATGCTCTACCTATAAGTGTATCCTGTATTTTAAAAAACACAGTACTTCTCAACTGATGAACTAAGCATAGGTGACCCAAATATTCTGTGGTTTCACTCCATCTTTCTTTTCATAGTGATGTTTATTGACTTTCCAGTACAAGTTAGCCACTATTTTTTTATTCCCTTACTTTTTGGCTTAACTCTCACCTTCAGAAAAATTAAATAATACTTTTCAAATTAATGTATAAAATATGTAACCCCTATTTTTTCCCCAGTTTAATAAGGTTAAATAGCTCACAACTACTCTCTTACTAGCAACATTTAATATCTTGATATACCAATTTGCTCTACTGTTGTTTTGATTAATACTTCTCCCCTTCATTTTAAGGTTATTCTGGTACAAGTTAACCCAGGGGAAGCATTTACAATAAGAAGAGAAGATGGACAGTTTCAGTGCATTACAGGTAAGAATGGTAATGTATATATACTTCTGGTTTCTTCCTTTCTTTTTCACTAACACTATACCAAAGCAAACTTTTAATACATTCCTGCTTAAGTATTGCAGTAGCATCCTAATTAGTTTCTTTGCCTTGTTTTCTTGATTAATCTTAGTATAATATTATATTGTTTATGTCACTTCTGTGCTCAAAAATCTTCAGTGAATCCAGTTCAGGTTCCTTAGTCTTTTTAAAAGATCATTTCGTCTTTTAGACTTTCTTTCCACTTTCACCTCAATACTGTTTTACTTCTAGCTTGTTAACTTGTTCACTGTCTCTTGAACCTGTCTTGTACTTACTGTATACTGTTCTTCTTACTTAGAATTCATCCATATCACTACCACCCCCCAGCCTATCCATAATTCAACACTGATGTCAGATCTCATCTTTAAAAGGTTTTTTGTAAGGTTTTTAGTGAGTATTCTCTTTGCATTACTCTGTAACTACCCCACACACATGCTTGTGACAAACAAAAATGTCTCCAGATATCAGCAAATGTTCCCTGGGGGGGACAAAATCACCCCCAGATGAAAACAACAAGCCTATGTGAAGGGAAGAGCAAAAAAGGTCACTGGCTCTGTAATTAGAGAACCTGAGTTTATCTGTCATTTATTGTCTGTATAAACTTTCATGTTATTTAACCTCTTTCAGGTACATTTCTTATCAGTAAAATTTCCATCTTTGTGATAATAGTACACCTCATAGGATAATTGTGGGGATTAACTAATGTGCATGTAAAGCACTGTAAACCAGACCCAGCACATATTATAAAGCACTTAACTAATGATGATGTTGGGTGCTGTGGTGTTGCTTAAAAGAAAGGTACCCCCATCACCTATGAAACCCTGTGATACCTATTATTGTGCTATTCATTTAACAAATATCTATGTTCTTTTTAGAACATTTCTTTTAGTTATATTTTTAAAAGCCGTTTAAATTTTGTTGTTTAACTTGAGATGTTCATTCATTCTCTTTAGATTTTAAGCACTTTGAGGGCAGATGTTGTTTCTTACATTTCTTTGTATACCCTTCAATTACTGGCCTTCCACATGTTCAGTACCTAAATAATAGTGTTGCTTTCATTTGAAAAGATCATATTAGAAGTAGGGTTTCGATATGCTTCATCATCCAACCTAGCATACTTCTGAGAATGAAAGAGACTCTAGCAATTACTCTAAGGCGAGTGGTAGCCAGTCAAACCAGGACTAATGGTACCCCCCATTTACTAGGTCTGTCTACTTGATTTAATTCAAGAAGAAATATACTAACTCTTTCTAGAGAGGCAATTAGCTCAGTAATTACAATAACAATTTTTTGACTGCCATATAAACCTTACATGCCTTAGAGTTAGCACTTTCTCTAAGTTAATGTAAATCTTTTATGCAGCAAATAAGATAACTTCAAAATAGGACAGGTCCACATACTATGAGCTTAAAAGAAAACACGTAGTAGATTTTTAGGTAATATAATAAATTTTGCCTGTCTTCACTTGGAAATTAGGATTTCATAAAATTTATTTTTATACAGGGTACCTCTTAGAATGTAGGTTTCTAAGAGAGCACTCACCTGAGGTTTATTTATATATCCCTTTTCAAATTGTTTACAATAAGTACTGTTTATGATGGAAGCATTTTAACTAATATAACATTGGTTTTTTAAACACATCTACAAATGGGGATACTATATACATTGCTATTTTAGTATGACTTAAAACACAAAAGCTGCTGGTTTTTAAATCTGATATTTTAAAAGTCAACTGTAACTGCATGGTTTAAATCCCCTCCCTCATAAAGTCAATTAATTTGATTTTTATGTGGCAGTTACTCCTTCAGTCAGGACCAAAAAAGCCAATCTAATTTATGATGTGCCTGTAGTACTAATAGTAGAAACTGCCTACCATGCGAAGATATTCTTAGGCATTGGAAACAGGATACTCCTCTCTTTATATTACCAATTACAAGAGTGGAAGCCTTGTTTTAAAATTATGAGGTAGAGTTTTTTAAAACACAGGAAAGGATAAGGGGAACCAGACAGAAAGTAAAAAGCTCTTCCCTCTGTTCTTATTAATCTAAAATTGAAATATGGGATATAGGTAGAAAGAATGAGGGATTGGGGTTTAAGTCTTTGTAAAGACCAGTGTGTCCTCAAACCAAGCAAGAAAATAAGATAGGATGACAAAAGAATGTAACTGCTGGAGCTCGTCTTCCTTTTCTTCCCCTTTGCCATCACTAGTTTCTATACCATGGCAGTCATCTTCCTGAAGTAGTTTTGGAGCTAGGTAAAAAAGTAAGAGTGAAGTAGAAGAGGAGGCAGCAGGTAAGAGAAAGTGTTAAAGGAGGAAAATAATATGCCAGTGAACCTGAGAGAAAAATGGGACCCTATAACCCTAAGGCCATCAAGTTAGGAAAGCTTATCTTTTCACAGCCATTATACTAAGAAAAAAAAAAACAAAAACCTGTAGTGAAACCTAAAGAATTGCCCTGGCTAGATTGCTCGGTTGAGTTGGAGTGTCATCTTGTATGCCAAAAAGGTTACAGGTTTGATTCCCAGTCAGGGCATGTACATAGGTTGTGGGTTCATTGTGGATTCAATCTATGGTTGGGGTGCATACAGGGGACAACCAGTTGATGTTTCTTTCTCACATTGATGCCTCTCTCACACTGCCTTCCCCTCTCTCTTAAAAAAAAATCAATAAACATCCTCAGGTGAGGATTTAAAAAAAAGAATTGAGGTAAATCCAGTACAAAATAAGCATTTGAATTAAACATTTCTTTTTAAAGTAGTTTTATTACCTATCGAGAATTTTTTAAATAAATTTTATTGATTATGCCATTACAGTTGTTCTATTCCCCCCCCCCCCTTGATTACCCTCCACCCTGCACACCCCTCCCCTCATTCCCCTCTTTAGTTTATGGCCACGTGTCTCAAGTTCTTTAGATTTTATATTTCCCCTACTATTCTTGCTCTCCCCCTATCTATTTTCTACATACTGTCTATGCCACTTATTTTCTGTACCTTCTACCCCCTTCTCCTCCTCCCACTCCCCTGTTGCTAACCCTCCATGTGATCTTCATTTCTATGGTTCACTCCTGATCTGGCTGTCCTCTTAGTTTGCTTTTGTTTTAGAAGTGGTTGATAATCACTGAGTTTGCTGTCCTTTCACTGTTCATCTTTTTTATCTTCTTTATCTTAGATAAGTCCCTTTAACATTTCATATAATAAGGGTTTGGTGATGATGAACTCCTTGAATTTGACCTTATCTGAGAAGCACTTTATCTGCCCTTCCATTCTAAATGAAAGCTTTGCTGGATAGAGCAATCTTGGATGTAGGTCTTTGGATTTCATGACTTGGAATACTTCTTTCCAGCCCCTTCTTGCCTGTAAAATCTCTTTTGAGAAATCTGCTGACAGTCTGACGGGAAGTCCTTTGTAGGTGACTGTCCCCTTATCTCTTGCTGCTTCTAGGATTCTCTCCTTCATTTTAATCTTGGCTATTGTAATTATGATGTGCCTTGATGTGTTCCTTCTTGGGTCCAACTTCTTTGGTACTCTCTGAGCTTCCTGGATTTCCTGGAAGTCTATTTCCTTTGCCAGATTGGGGGCATTCTCCTTAATTATTTGTTCAAATAAGTTTTCCACTCGTGGCTGTTCCTCATCCCCTTCTGGTACCCCTATAATTCAGATGTTGGAATGTTTAAAGATGTCCTGAAGGTTCCTAAGCCTCTCCTCATTTTTTTGAATTCTTGTTTCTTCATCCTTTTCTGTTTGGTCATCTTTTCCTTCCTTCTGGTCTGCTCCCTTAATTTGAGTCCTGGTTTCCTTTCCATTATTATTGGTTTCCTGTGCATTTTCATTCATTTCAATTAGTTTAGCCTTCATATGTTCCTCTAATTTGTGACCAAAATCAACCAGTTCTGTGAGCATCCTGATCACCAGTGTTTCGAACTGTGCATCTGAAAGTTTGGCTATTTCTTCATCGCTTAGAGTTATGGGCTCTGGGGCTTTGAGTTCATCTTGAGCCATGTTTTGGTCTGTTCGAGCCTATTACATATGAGGAGCGGAGCCTTAGATCTTCACCAGGATGGGGAAACTAAATTGCTGGATTGTGATGCTGTATGTGAGGGCGGGGTCAAAGAGGGGCAATGGTGGTTTCCTCTGCTGCTTCCCACTGCTGGGGCCTGCATGGTCTGTCTCACTGCTCGCTCCTTGGCTGGTTTATCTGCGTGCAAATGTGTGCCCAGGTCAGCCTGCCCCCTTGCACCCTCATGGGGTTTGCCCGTTGCTACCCCACATCTGGGATCCACCCACGACTGCCTGCATGCCTGGGTCAGGGGATCTTTCCTGACCGATCCTGCTCCGCTGCTGGTTCTGCCCCTTACTGGTCTGGCTGAAAGGTTTGTTGTTGTCCGAGTTCCATATAGTTCAGTTTTCTGTGTTTTGATTGTTTTTTTTGTTACTAAAACTTTGTTGTCTTTAAACTTGGTTGTGCGAGGAGGCACAGTATTTCCACCTACACCTCTATCTTGGCGGAAGTCCTCACCTATCTAGAATTTATAGAAATAAAAACTACAAGTTAAAAGAGATCATAGGGTAACGTTGAGATATAAATAATCCAACTTACTTCATAGGAGGTTCAGAATTTGTTAAAGCTAGTTATTGGCAGGGCTCAATATAGTACTTTTTTCTACTAAAGCATACTGCTTGGAGAGACAAATTGCCGATATTTTTTCATGAATTTACTAAGTATCTACTGAGGTATGCTGTACCAACTCCAGGGGACTCAAAACTAAGACATGGGTCCTGCCATTCAAGAACACAGTGTAGTAAGGAAGAAAGAGGAAAAGTTAACTATTGTATTACAGTATAAAAAGAACCATTAGAGACCTGCATAAAGTGGTATAGGAGCATAGGAAGGGTGCTATAATGCAAAGTAATATGTTAAGGAAAAAATTGTTCAAAGAGAAGGT